TCATCAATATTAAAATATTGGAGATATAAGAATTGCGACAAATATTACAGACAATATGATGCACTTTATGTGTATTTCCAGAATATTAAACAACTTGCGCAACCCATCCCGAGGAAATAAAATGCGTGTTACAGTCTCCGTGAACGCAGATACGGATCTACAATCGTTAAGGCAAACGAGGTGAATCATAAAATCACCGATCGGGATGGTTTCTACAACCGATATCGGGATTGATAAGCGGAAATTCACGCGCGCACGGAGTGTGTAACGCGCGAAACGTTAGTGCGCTCTCGTACGCGGAATGCATCTCTCATCTCGGAATAATAACAATGCCCCACGGGCTACGAAGTCAATGTGGAGCAGCTGGGATCTACGTAATGAAAGTATGATTGATGATCCGACCGACGCGCATCATTAGCTCGATATGGAGGAATGAACCGAGAAGGATATGCATGCTTGCAAGTTCCGACAAGTCGTGCACGAGCGTCGTCGATACCGTCGTCGTCTTAAGACGTATTCGAATTAACGTTTGTATGATTCCGTTCTGCAGTAATAAAATTCTTCGCAGAATTCGCATGAAAAGGACTATGGCACAATTCGAAAGTACATGTGGACAGATAGCGATATGTTCCTAGAATTTCCGCGTAATTAATAAAGAAAGGGCACATTTGACAAATTCAAAATAAATATAATATTTTTATATTTTATAAATCCCTTTGATTTTCTAAACAGATATGTTAATACATTTTTCTTTAATAGTATTTGTACAAATAATACTTATAATATTTATACAAAACTATAAGAATATTTATATAAATTTGATTATCGTTTATAATAAAAGTTAACTTTATGAATTAAAAAGTTTTCATAGAAATTAAATAATTTGCATTTTATTAATCAATAAGATTAAATTATTTCAAAGTGTTTTTGGATCGATGGTATAAAAACACAATCGTGCAAAAGACAAATAACAATTTTAGCATCGCTACCAACAAATCACGAGGGACTAGAAACATTTGAAAAACACATTTATCTCACTTCCGTTGGAACAAAATCTGCCCTGGGGGCCTAATGCTTCGGCTATTAAAAGCTTTAATGGACTGCTGATCGCCGATGGAGAGCAGAATAGAAGCAAACGGGGAGTAATACAGGTCGAATCTCTGAGGAATTGGAAAAATAGTTGAAATTGCGAATTTGGTGGACCTTCACGACGTTCTCTTTCTTGCTTCCTCTCCCCCCCCCCCCCCTCTCTCTCTCTCCTTCATCGTGTCCATTTCCATCCATGAAAATATTCCGCGTGTCATTCTCTGGCCACAATAATCGACTGAAACGTAGGGCAGCAGCGGGACGTCCTTGCAGAGCTCCATCGATTTCAATCGCGCGCAAAAGATGTGCTCTTTCTAGTGAAACTGGTTTCCCAGTCGGAGAGTAAGCGAGAAAACGGAGGCGATGGCACCGGCAGGCGGAAGGGCTGGAAAGGTCGTGGGTTGCCTGTTTGCGGCACGATGGAACTGTGATCAGGATTGACTCGGGATGATAATCTGGCGTACACGGGTTTCCACTTTGCCCGATGCGAACGACGACGTTCAGGTCGCCGAGTTCTCGCTCTCCTCGTCCCCCGATACTCACAAGCCTCTCTTCCGTCATTTCCCTCGCGAATATCCCTTTAACTATCGCTCGAATTCACTGATAATACATATGCGTCGCAATTATTAATATTGTTGATTCAGCTAAGAAAGCGTTTCGTCAGCAAGAATATACATGCTGTATATATAATAAGAAAGTTTAATAAAGCGAAGCTTCTGAAATTTAATTTAGAAAAAAATTTTTAATTGTCTACGAAAATCTTACATTACAGAATGTTATTGTAATCATCAATTCACGTAAGTCTTATAACATTAATAACATTGATAACATACCCTTGTAAATTTGAATAAAATCTGAAGAACATAAAGATATTTATGATACTCACGAAGGAGAGTCTCACAAAGGCACTTGAATGTTTTAGTATACGTTTTCTATCCAGCGTACAAAAGTACGAAAGCTGCGGGCCATCATTTGCAGAAGTCCGCGAGAAGCGTATGCGTCAATTCGAAGGAAAGAGGGAAAAGAGAGAGAGAGAGAGAGAAGCATAAAAAAGAAGAGACCGATTTCTTACTATCCCAGAGAGCGCGTTTCGTGGATACGTTTGGATAGCGGATAAAGCGCCCCTAAAGCCCAGTTTCGACAGAGCAAACAACCCGTAACTCAGTGAGTGTTTATGAGGGGGTCAGTCGTAAAAATACGATGCGAATCGGACTTTCTCTCTCTCTCTCTCTCTCTCTCTTTTTCTTTGTATATTTCGACCGTTTAGTCGACTTACCCTCACCAAACTTTTTCTCGGGCATTTCTTTCCACGTCGCGGAACAAAGACATGGTTACGGATAAAAACGTAAGAGAAAGACAGGCCACGACCGATAGAGTGAGAAGAATTTCCACTGTGGCAACGGGAGCATGTTCCCTGATCATAAAACTCGGTCTGATCACCGCTACCAATTATCCCACCGTTATCCGAGTGTTATCCGAACGTTATCCGGAACGTTATCCACCTCTGCCCACCCGATACTCCACGGAAGAACCCTCTCACCATCATCCGAATCACTACCGATCCCTTGAACCCTAACTGAGAGAAAATAAGAGAGAGAGAGAGAGAGAGAGAGAGAGAGAGAGAGAGAGAGAGTGTATGTGTGTGTATGTGTGTAAGAAAGAGAATGGCTCTACCCTAAACACGAAGACCCGTTGTTGTCGCCTTTTACTGCAAACGAAGTGATTCTCTCCTCGTAAACGCGTCATCTTTACAGATTATTCGATGAAGGAATATATTTTCCTGATATCAAACTTTCAATTCTCTCATATTGCTCTATCTTTAGTGATGTTAATATAAGATCATTACAATACATAAAAAAGCATTCTTATTTTATAAATGCTTAATATGTGATTGTAAATACGCTATATGCGACTCAATTAAAAAATATTTTAAAACAAATCTCTTTTTAACAAAAATTTATATACAAAATTGCTTAGATAATTTAATCGAAATTGCTTAAATGAACTTAATACAATTGTTGATCTTAATTTAAGAGAATACGTTCAAATATATCATATTAATAATCACTATTAATTTTTATCCTCATATAGTCTTCATAAATACAAAATTATGCATATATGTATATTAATTACTTAGCACAAAAAAAATTTTAATTCTAAAAATTTAGTTTTTATTTTGTATGTTAAAAATTCTGTTAAAGAGAGAATTGACAGTTCGCGAATTGCCTATTCCATTTGCGTGAAATGAGACTTGATAATAATACTTTCTAAATCACAAAACGGAATGATTGTCGGACATGATATTAATCAGACATGCAAGAGAGAAGTGAAATTCAAATTTCCATCATAAGCGTGGAACGACTGATAATCGAATCACGAAGTGATTTGATTTCAGAGAGAAACGGCGGATATTGCGGATATACAAATATAATGTATACGACACTAAAGTCTCTTCATTCGAGTTGAATGTTTCGTTTATTAAAGAATAATACCAAGAATACTACGTAAAGACTGAATATTTATTACATGAAGTATTAAAGAGGTATTAGATGTGACTGATTGCATTAAATTGTGAATTATAATTATGCTATACAATCATTCATAAATCATCAGCTGTTAATCAAGTTTCCGTACTAACTGCTACCTTTAATATGTAAAAAGAAAATAATTAAGTTAACTTTATATTGACGTAAAATTATTGTATATGTATTTATTGTAAAAATGACAATATTAATTTGAAATTTATAATCTGATTATTTTCTATAATAAATCAGACTTTCAAAAATACTATTTAAAAACAGTTAAGTAAAAAAAAATTATTTTATACTTCTATATAAATTAATGTATGACATTAATGTATTTTTTAATATATGTATAACTAATATGTATGAAATTTGTGTATAATTTTTTAATTTGCAAAAGTAATAATAATTTGATGTGTCAAGTTTTCTCTCATTATAATAGAAATCATAATAAATATTTATATTAAATGTAATAATTTTTCATTAAAAAGTGAAACTTTTGAAAAATTTAATAACATGGAACAATCTTAAAATACAAATTGGCTTACTAAAAAAACATCTTACTAAAAAAACAAATTTCTTATTTAAATTAAAATAAATTATATTAATTCATAAGTTATAGAAAACTCTTAAACGGTCTAGTTGGATCTTAAATGATTGGCTTGTATGATTCTTGTGTGAATTTATATACTACGTATGTAGTTCTCAGAAACGCGGGCCGAAATGATTTTTCGGTCTTGAAACGCTAACTCTATTAAACTACCATAGTAATATCACGAGTGACTAGCAATTTTTAATGCTCATTCGCAATGTTGAATGCCATATTAAAATCTGTAAATAATTAATTTTTATTGCGAAAATTATCTCGGCTAGGAGTTGAACTCGGATCTCTTGCATTCTGTGCGAGCGTCCTAAGTCCTAATTATTAACATTATTAAGATCGTTTCGAAGATGCGAATAAGCATCAAAAATTTGTTAAATTGCTAGTCAATTTAATTCGTAATATTACTGCGGTAGTTTAGTAGAGTTAGTGTTTCAAGATCGAAAAATCATTTCAGTGCGCGTTTCTGAAGACTATATACGTAGTATATAAATACGTAGTATATAAATACGTAGTATATAAATTCACACAAGAATCATATAAGCATTTAAGATCCAGTTAGACCGTTTAGACTTTGATTTCTATATTTTATGTTATCACACACACACACACACACACACACATATACGGTATAATGTATTATATTGTTAATTTATAAGAATGAGAAAAGTGATACGGAAAATAAATAGATTCATGAGATATACTCATAATAAATGGCACAATATTGTACATGTCTCTTGTATTGTATGAGTGTGTATAAATGTTTGTTGGCTCAAGTGGATTCATCTTACCGGCTCGATTACTCTGGTCGATCATTGGTTGAACGATTCTACGTCTCGCGTTTATAAACCTGAAACAAATAAAACAAATCACGTTAATAAATAATTGATTTTATTTAATAATTCATAATCCAAGATAATTTTTCATACAGCAAATGTAATAATCGTTTAATTCTTAAAATATGATAATTTTTCTATATATTATATCGAATTCCTTTTTTCTTTTACTTTCATAAATTCTTCTTGCAAATATTATATTTTACATCTTTTCATTCCCTTCACGTTTTACATGCGATAATACGCAGTGTAAGAGAAGAAGATTATCTTGACGCAATTCGCTATCTTTGCAACAATCAAGAAAAAGCGAACTGCAACTGGTTCGGGAGATGAGCGAGTAAAAACGGAAAAATCCGGTAAAGAGGAAGAAAATCCTCGATACATCATTAGTCGCGTTGAAGAAGCTTCCATGTGAACGCTTTCCGAACAATAGATCTGCGGTCTGTTTCGATGTTGGTCGAAGTCCAAGAGGGTAGTAAGTTCAATATAGTATGAGATAGGAACAACCAGGGAGGAACGGTGGTAGAATGAGCGAAACACGAAGAGGAAGGGCGTACGTCAGCCGACGTCAGCGTCGCGGCGCCCTAATGGGCGCAGACGCCGGAAGTGATTGGGTTTCTGCTCGACTGACTCGAGCACACCCCCTTCCCGTCGTAGAATACTCCAGTTCCCTGCCAGAAGGGATGAGGAGGACATAAGCAAGTCCCGAAGAAGCGATGGTACCCCCTCGCTTGTTTGCAGCACATCTTTCTTGCTTAGTCTCACGTCTGGCCGACTCTCACAGGAAAATCTTATGAATAATAATTATTAAACTCTCATCGCATCTTACTCTTGTATATGGATACACATGGCCATTATCGCAGTTAAGACGCAGAGAATGTCTATAAGTTATTCGACAAGTCACCGAAAGTCAAAAGAGCTTCGTTCGACTGAATGAGTAGTAAAGGACAAGTGATCAGCACGTACGTGCACGTAGAGGTATAGAAATAACCATAAATTATAATATCGTGTCAATCAGGGATATCTAAATACGTTGTCAATATCTACAGATTATGTACTGAAATATTTATATCAATATCGTTTTATAATACAATATATATTATATACATTCAATGTTATATTTAATATAAAACAAACATACTGATTCAACTTATCGGATTATAAATGTTCTAATAAAAGAAGAAAAGCTGCATATAAATTTTTTTAACAATGTATAAATCTTTCTTTGTAAAAGAAAGTTACATACAAATATAAAACTGTAACAAATTAATTTCTATTTATTTACATATTCAGGCAAAAATCATGTAAAAAAATTCTCTCTAACATTAAAAAATTCTGAATATAATAATGCGATGCAAATATGAATGCAATACGATAAATAATTAGATGTAATCGTTTCAGAGTCAAATTCTCAACTAGTCAGACGAAAGAGTATCGTTGCGCGAATATGAAACCAAAGATCCCTCTCTGACCCCCATATACTCCCAAGCGCCTCTGATTCCTCTTTGGCGAGGTAGGCAACGTGTCACAACCAGCTGACTACCACTAACCACCCCCGCTTTTCCACTTTAGCAGCCACCATCGCAGCTGAAATATCGCTCGAACAATGGCACAACCTTCTAACCGAAATGAGAAAGAGAAAGAAGAGACTTGCAGAGACGAAAACGGTGAGCGAACTGCCCAAATTCTCTTCCAAGAGTTTAGCCGCCTGGTGTCCTAGCGAAAATCAAATGGGAAACTTGGACTTGTCATGTTGCAGGGACTCTTTTTTATATGCATTTCTTTTTTATATTCATAAATATAAATAAAATGTAGTAAAACTTAACATTTAGATCATTAATTATAATTATAACTTTATTTTGTTTGTGTTAATAAATCTTTTAATGAAGAAAAAGTGAAAATTTAGATATTGAAATTATACATATACATTTCTGAAACTTGAAACTAAAATATTCACCAAAATAATATAATATATAATATATAATATAATATATAATATAATATATAATTCATTACTATAGTACGTTATAAAATTGTTATTTAATCGATCAAGAATCAAAAAACCTTCCCCTTTAAAGGGAAGAAACAAATTTACTCCTGAGAAAATTTAACGCGTTTGAATATACAGTAGAATGAAGTTCTTGTAATAAAGACATAAAAACAAATGATTTATAAAGTGTACAATTTTTCAATATTTTGACTATAAATATTAGATATATTTAAAAAATTATAAATATTCTTTAAAATAAAAGTATTTAAGAGAAATGTAAAAAAAATTCAAAATTCCATGTTCTTTTATTTTTTCTTCACTTTTTCAAGCTTTTAATGATCAATTTAAATTTTCATAATTTCAAAATTTTTCAAGATTTTCTGCGGCAACCTTCGTTTCTCAATACAAAAATAAGATATTTTGTTTTTGTTCTTTATATTATCTATAAAAAATGTTACAATTTTCATCGACTAAAATGAAAAACTATTAACAAATGGTAAAGTGAATCAGATGCCGAGCAGAATTGAATAAACGAACGGCGAAATCACGCTAATGAATTACAAACAGAATTTCAAAAACGTACGAGAATTATTGACGAATCGCTGACAGACGGAATTTACCTTACTTTTTACGGATATATATATATATAAAATATATTTCTGCAAGGAAAAGACAAACATACAGTATTAAATTGGAGAACGGCTGTCTCTCATATGCATTTTCAAATCGTAACTAAATTTAGTGTACTTCGAGCAAATGCATGAATAATTCCTATCTTTGTTTATATACATATATACGATATACACAATTCTCTGTACATCGATTCATATAATATTAAAAAAATTTTAAGGTAGTAAGATGACAGTAAAACAAGCTGCGAATTGATTCTTCCATTCTTTTAAAAGTCTCTTTCCATGTTTCCCCTTTGCACTCTCTCTCTCTCTCTCTCTCTCTCTCTCTCTCTCTCTCACACACATTAAAAGTTGTCCAAGTATATATACTTCCAATAAAAAATTAACGATATATATAAATAATCAGCAGCACATATATTTCCTCTTTATTTAATCAGCAAAAACATTATAAGGTATGCTTTATATTTATTTCATTGCTACAATTAATTTTTAATTAATTATTGCACAATGAATACCTATAATCATTTCTAATAAAAAGATAATTTTATTGAAAGAATAGTATGCATATTTGTTAGCTAGAGAGATTTTTTTAAAATAATGCAGCAAGAAGCAAAAAGCACTAGAGAAGAACTTCCTTCATCGTTGTGCGAGTGCGTGAGTGGAGTAACGATGATTACTGTCGCGCTAGCAGCATTTACTCTCCGACGGCATTCGCAATTATCGGGGAGCTTCCATTAGTTAACTGCAGTCGATACGCAGTGCACCGGGTCCTCGCATCAAAACATCATTACTGCTCGAACACGAGAGCGCGAGAGCTGCCGTGCTCGCAGTACTATTGGTAATCAATTTCGCTCCCGTGGCGTACTACTGGTGAGAGCCGCGTTAATGTGAAGCCTCAGCGTTCGCGTCGCATTACGGGAAATCGAAAAGGCAGTCTCGTAATGATTACGCGTTAGAAAACGGATCGACTGACGTGTAGGTAGGTGAGTTGCCATAAAAAGACTGTTTTTAATTAGAAACTGAATAAGTGCGCGTGAATTGAAATAATTTTCATCGTTAAGGGAGAGAATAGATTAAAATAGGTAAAAAAAAAAAAATACTTAAGAATGGTATTGCATTATTATTATTATTAACATTATCAAAATTTATTATTATTAAACCTCGTGGAATATGTTGCTTTACTTAACGAGGGTTTCAATCAATATAGTGAAGTAATAACGGTGCAATTATTTTTATTGAATTGGACTGCTACGTACGACCAGTGGAGTTGGATTATTTATGTAATTATCCCTTCCTGCGCCATAGTTAATGAGGGAACATAGTTAATGAGGATCTGACCTCGCAATCCAATCGACAATCGATTTTTGTCTGTATAAAATTACCTCTAGTCTCACTAATGCGTTGCATCAGAGAAAACAGCCGTCATAAGCATTGCATTCCAGAAAACGAATGCTTATTAGGAGTTGGTCATATAGATAAAATATTAATATTAATAGGAACATACACTGTTTCATATCTCATATTTAAAACCTACAATTGTTATATAAATAATTTAATTATTCGTTATAATAATTATAACAAATCTTATGCTAGACAAATTGATATAATTTACTATTAGTTACTCAAATCACAGAATTAAAAAAAATATATTCTCTCTCTTTCTTTCTCTTTTAGCGATTGAGTTATAAAATAAAAGGACACAAAGCACAATGTGCGTGTGTGTGTGTGTGTGTGTGTCTGTGTGTGCGTGTGTGTGCGTGTGTGTGCGTGTCCTCTCTTTAAGTCTTTGTACGCCCATTTTTTCGAGATAATTTTATTGCATCAACAAAAAGGTAAGGTCGCCGCTTGAGCTCGCGCGATCAAACGAAGGGATATAAATCTGAGCGTTCATAAGACTAGCGTCGTGCCAGTGCATTTACGATCGATAAAATCATTTTATCCGAATATAATGCACTGGTCGATTCATATGCCGCTCCTGGCGAGTTCCTCCTTTTTTTTTTACTTTCCGTTTTGTTCTCTCTCGTGCCGCCGATCGTAATCATGATTTTATTGTACTCAGCCTGGTTACGTCTAGCCTGCACACTGATGGATCTCGTCGAAAGTGCGGAATTCACAAACGAATCGTATCCTACACAATATATAATTCCCATTCGATAATAGTTTTTTGCAGAGATCGTTGGTAAAATTGCATGGTGCATCTCGACAATTCTGGAAACTGAGACTTGCTGTCCAGATTAAAAATTTTTATTTAAGATTGTTATATATCGAATGAAACAAGTATTCAAGATTTATGCAAATATTTGCATTGCCTCTTCTTCTAATTTTAAAATTATGTGATGAAATTGTCATTGCCTATTTGAATAATAACTTTATTAAAAAGTATGTTCAACGA